TACTTCCCCTCCTCCTCCTTCCCCCCTCCTACTACTACTACTACTACTACTAACGGTCTTCCTCTGCTCCGGTTGGGAAGACTCGGAATTCTGTGTCAAGGTCGAACGTACCGCATTTGGATTAGTCACAATACTCTGTTCCATCTAATCGCTCGTATCATTTGCGTCGCCCATGAGCCGAGAGACTATAATTATGCTATTATACTACCCACAATGAGTGAGTAGAAATGCATATTCAATATTTTAACTAACTGACTCTGCTAACATTTTGCCTGCACTCATGTGAACAACCGCTGTTTGAAGTTCTCTACTGTATCAATATATTTTCAGTCACTATGCCACCAATAGGGAGCTCAAAGGCGTTTGCCTATCCTTCCCTCAATAAAACTGTACTGAATTGAACGTCACCGCCGTCCGAAGTATCTGAGGCCTTTGCTAACGCTGACATAATTGTACGATGGGACTGTGTATTGAACGGGTGAACCATGACTGAAGAAAAAGCCTGTTCAACAAGTGCACCATTGGTCTAGTTTAATTCTCCTGTCCTTGGGTGCTGCATCGTTCCTTATTTACTTTTTACTGTTATATGCAGGAGTAATCCCTTCACTCCCTATTTTTCTTCTTCACTGCCTCCGCCAGTTCCCTTTGGCTTAGGATGCCAAACAGCTAATCTCACAAGATAATTCTGATTCATCGAGCATAAGTAAGCACATTTGTCTAGTGTCGCACAGTTTGTATGTCCTAAGGTTCCGTGATTTGCAGTCGGTTTTTGCTAAAAAGCTTGACATTATGTTGCTGTTTTCTCAGTACCCGAATAAACTTTGCGAGCGCTACCTGAGCGGAATACGGGCTTTCAAGCCGGACTGCATTTCGATTCGTGCACACGCACGGTCGGACTGGGTCGGTTGCTGGCGTTGTAAAAGTATCTACATCAGGCAGTGCCAGGGTTTAGACAAATATTTTATTCAGACAAAAAGTGTCCGGAAGTTTTTGTTCATTCAAGCAAAACCTCAGTACCGCCACTGTTCGTTGATCGTAGTACGCAGTGTGCTTGCAGGTGGACGGTAGCCTTTTCTCTCGGTGATCTGGCGATTACGACTGCCAGTAACTGAAAGGGTTAGAGGTACGCATTCACGGGGAAGAAGGCAAAGTTAAATAATGAAGCCGATGACCAGTAGGAAGGGAAAAGCGAAATATAGGAAGTATTCGAGAAGCGAAACAAATCATTACTGAGACAAACATTTTTTATCGCTGGGCTTTTCGACCTCACACTCCATCCTCCACTCTGCAACAGATAAGAATAATGGACAAAAATGAGTTTTGTGGTCGCCTGCACACGACACCGGACCCACAGTACATGTGGCTTTACGCCAAATTCCGGGGAAATTCGGCTTAGGGTTAGGCTTAAGCTTGGGGTTAAGGTCAGAGTTGGGGGATGGGGCCAGGATTGTGTTAGGGGTCAAGGATTGGGATCGTGTTGACTGCAGGGTTTAGAGTAGGATCAGGGTTAAGATTGAAACTATCTTTTAGTTTTATTTTTGGGTTATTGTTAGGATTAAGACGGGGGAGTATTTCCACTTACCGAAATTTGTCGTAAGGCCATCTGTTCTAAATGGACAGGGCGTTCTTTTGCCGTGTCATCTTCGGACAGCCATGCAAGTCATCCATACCGAATAGTGGAAGCAAGCTTGTGCAGCAAATGTGGAACCGCAAGCTCGTTTAGCGTGATGAGGGGAGTAGTCGTTCAGAGCTCATTTGCGACTAATCACTGGTTACGTACAAGCGATTCAAAGCTTTTCAGCGCGCAACCCATTTGACTCTAGAAGGTAAACACCCAGCTTCTTGAAGCTTCAGATTTTGATAGAGCCCGGGAAAATGGTCTTCCCTTCGGAGGCTCCTGTAAGTTATTCCAGCAGTGATCAAGTTAACAACTCTAACGTATCACAAAGATACGTTTTTGCGATAAAAGTCTATCTGTGACGTTCAAGTTGAGCAGTCATAGGGGAGTATGCAGTGAGGGGGCGAAATGCGCCTCTTTCGACCTGTGCCAATAAAGTCATCAGTGAGTAAGCAGGCCACCTGTACCTCCAACTGCTTTTGGTTTGCGGTGTAATGCTAGTCCTTGGTTCTAGGGTCTGCATTTGTTTTCCTAATGCCTGGAATTTGCAGCTGCGCACTGGTACAGTAAATTGTAGGCAAGTGCAATGCTGCACATTTTGTTTAATTGCCTGTTGGATGCAAAATATGTTTATAAATCATTTGACCTATCGGAGTGTTTAAAAATTTGACCGACAATATACTTTATCTTGCATCCGGACATTTTGCTATGCTTAAACGTTGTTCAGTATTTTAAAAGAAGCTTTGGTTGACTCGTTCGTTTCGTAAATTTCGGCACTTTTCATGAGACAAAGCATGCATTGCAGTCATTATAGGTACGACTTCTGCATTAATAGTTGGTTGAATGGCGGATACGGAATAGGAGGAGTGCCGTTAGCTTTTGGTACTGTTAGATGAAATTGCCGCCAAAGACAAGGGAAACTAGAATTGTCATTTCTGGATCATTAGCCGTCATCAATCAATCATACCCAGTCCCAAGTGGTGCACCCCCCGAGGCTCGAACCCTCGACCTTTTGATCAGAAGTCTAACGCTCTAACCATTGAGCCAGGAGCTCGTCAACGTACTGTCAGATGTCGCAGGCAGTACTGATAATGGAGCAATTTATTCGTTCTGAAATAAAAGTCAGATCTAGGTCCATTTGCGGGACAAAAATGTCTAATCACATGTTCGCAGCCTGCTCAAAACGTTTTCATTTTCTCACCTGTGATCCGGCGCATAAACGCTCCACAGTGTACTCCAGCGCATCAGCGAGTGGTTGAGGAGGAGGAGGCTTGCAAACTGGACTGGTCTTTACCAGGAGACCGGGTCCAAACTTGGCGTTAGCCGCACCGCTGAGGCGAACTTGAAAGAGGTCACCGGTGGAGCCAGTCTGTGAATAAGAAAACCGTCTCTGTTGAATGTTTTTGTGCGGGCAGCCCCGATGTGTGAAATATGACAGCATAAGTTAAATGAACCACCTTTTGCGCCGGTGCTTTCTCGCCGTTTGCCAAGAGTGAAAAAAATCTGGCCTCTGCTAACGATAGAACCCACAATTCAACGTCCTCTGTGGGCAGTTGGTGTTTCGCTTGTGGGGTCG